CATCTCCTCCTGCATCGCATGCTCCCACTGCTGAGATTCACTCATTTGCACTGCCTCTTCATAACACTCCGGCTCTCCGCTATCTGTTAGGAGTAGATAATCAAGTGATGAGAGGTATTTGGGATTTGGTTTGGGTACCCTAGATGACCTCCTAGGCTCCACGCCCTGGATAGTAGCTTCTGCACCTGTAGTCTCCTCCGTTCTACGGTCAGAACTGACATCGTCGCCCCCATCTGGAAGTTCCTCCAAATCCATGTACTCGGATCCACCTGTATCCGTAGTGCTGCTCCCACTGCTTTGGCTATCCTTGGCATTGTCCCTGTCCTTGTACATCACCTCCTCATTGAATATCACATCCCGGCTCCTGATGATCTTCCTGTTCTTCTCATCCCAAAGGCGATACCCGAACTCATCAATGCCGTATCCAATGAATGTGCACTTCTGTGACTTAGCTTCTAGCTTGTCCCTGACATGGTCACTGATATGAACATAAGCCACACAACCAAATACCCGCAAGTGTGAGAGATTTATCTTCTTTCCACTCCAAACCTCCTCTGGAATCCCAAAATCTAATGGAACTGATGGCCCGTGATTAATAAGGTATGCTGCCGTATGCACCGCATCCGCCCAAAATGTCTTAGACAGACCTGCATGTAATCGCATGCTCCTGGCACGCTCTGTCAAGATCCTGTTCATCCTCTCTGCAATGTCGTTCTGCTGCGGCGTCCCTGGAGTAGTCCTCTCTAAACGAATCCCATTCGTAGCACAGAACCTCTTGAACTCCTCCAGCTCGTATTCTCCACCATTATCTGATCTCAAGCACTTCACCTTCAGATCTGTCTCGTTCTCGACCATGACCTTCCACTTCTTGAAGATCTCGAACACCTCTGACTTGTGCTTCATGAAGTAAACCCACACCTTCCTCGAGTGATCGTCGATAAAGGTGACGTAGTATCTCGAACCGTCAAAAGAAGACACACTGGCTGGGCCCCATACATCTGTATGAATCAACTCTAGCTTCTGAGCCTTAGGTGGCCTTCCACCCTTCTGGAAACTAACCCTCTTCTGCTTCCCAAAGATGCAGTCTTCACAAACCCCGACTTCCACGGTGTCGATCCCGGTTAGCTTTCCTTGTGAATGTAGAATTTTCATCCCTTTCTCGCTCATGTGCCCCAGCCTATTGTGCCACAGATCTGTACTCTCCTTGCCAGCTGCAATTGCGAGGGTGTCACTCGCATGTGAAGTGAGGTAGAGAGTTCCCGTTTTATTGCCTCGGGCAACAATCATCGTACCGTTGGAGATTCTCCACGAATCCCCGGTGAATGTCGAAACGTAGCCTTCTGCTCCAAGCTGTCCCACCGAAACAAGATTCCTCTTAAGCTTCGGCACGTGTCTCACGTTCTTCAAGTTCCACTTAGAGCCCTTTATCTGTATCTGAACGTCGCCCTTTCCAACAATATTGCAAGGTTCATTATCCCCCAAGTATACTTTACCAAAGTCCCCTGCTACATAGTTCTGAAGTAGTTTCCTATTAGCAGTGGCGTGGAAAGAAGCTCCTGAGTCGATGACCCAAGAATCAGAATCGCTATCCATAGCAAGGATCAAGGCATCCTGCACGATATGAGCCTCCTGCTCACCCGCATCCTTCTTTGGTGCTTTACAGACCGAAGACATATGGCCCTCCTGGCCGCAGTTCCAACACTTCCCTTTGATAGACCTAACCTTCGAGTTCGGCCTCTTCTTCACTGATTTCGACCGATTCCTGTTCTGGTTCCCTTTCTTCTGGCTTCTGCCTCTCTGCTCGAAACTTAGGGCTGAACCTGAACCTTCTGATTCGGACGATTTCCTTCTAACCTCCTCGGATAGAATCATGCTAACAACCTCATTCAGCTTCAACTTCTCTTTCCCCGCCGAATTGCTGATTGCCGTCACACAACCTGCCCAACTATCCGGCAACTGCGATAGAATCAATAGGGCTTGCACTTCGTCATCAAACGTGATGTCCACGGAGATAAGCTGATCAC